CAGGATTTTAAAAAGATTCCCAGGTGGATTCTAACGTGCAGCCAAGGTTGAGAACCACTGCTCTAGAGAAACAACAAAATACATAAATATTCTGATCTGATTGCAAAACATTGTTTTAAACAAACGTTTTTATTTAAAAGGAGATACAACCATATATACCACTGATGAGGCCAACCTAATTCAGTAATGTTTTACCAAGAGCCTCCTACTTACACAGGCCACGTTCTAGAGCCACACAGAGCGCGCGTGGGGGGGGGGGGGGGGGGGGAGACTACAAAAATATGAATACACTGCCTCCGTCCTCTAAAATCGTACCTAGCAAAACTGCCTTAGGCATACAGAAATAGGCTATTTCAAAACCACAGGCATGTAGAAAACCCTGGGAATGCAGAAAATCCTGGGAATGCTGAAAGGGAATTAATTAGCCCTGACCAGGGGAGTCAGGAAAGCCTTGGTGGTGGGGGGGGGGCTAACAACCGTGCTGAGTAAGAGTTAACTGAGCTAACAAGGTAGAGGGCCAGGGAGCAATATGCAGTAGTTTCCAAACATTTTTAAAGCAGAATTCTTGTTTTGTAACGTTTTACTTAAAACCCCAATTTATAAGATTAAAAGCAGTAGCCCTGGATGAAGTAGAGCTGAGACCTGCTCCCACAGCTTCCCTATACTATTCTCCTTAGCAGCTCCTAAAAAACTCTAAGGAATCCTGTAGTTTTGTTGACTACTGCTTAAAATTTACTGATAAAGTAGAAAAAACAATGACTTTGGAGTCAGCCAGAGGTGTAGGTTTGAATCTTTCCTCTGCCTCTTGCTGTGCATTTTCCTATTTTGGAAAATGAAGACAATACTACCTATCCCTCAAAACTGTTTTGAGGATTAAATTAGAAAACATACCAGCACAGTGGCTGGTATGTAACAGGTGGGCAACATGTGGCAGCTATAGTTGTAATTAATAGTGACACTAAGAATAACAACGAACATGGTGTTCTAAGCAAACCAAGCAGACAAAAACCCTTAAATACAAACTCAAAATGGATCACTGACCTAAATGTAAAATGCAAAACTATGAAACTTTTTGAAGATAACTAGGTGACCTTCAGTTTTGCCATGAGTTTTTACATACAACATCAAAAGCACAATCCATGAAAGAAAAATTGGTAAGTTGAACTAGATTAAAATTTGCAAGTCCTGCTCTGAGAAAGATACTGTTAAGAGAATGAAAAGACAAGCCACAGACTAGAAGAAAACATTTGTTAAACACCTCTCTGATAAGAGACGTGTTCCTTAAATAGACAAAGAACTCTCACAACTTCACAATAAAAAACCAAATAACCCATTTAGGAATAGGGCAAAAGATCTGAACAGACACCCCAACAAAGACGACATGCAGATAGCAAATAAGTATATGAAACGATATTCAACATCGGATGGCATTCAGGAATTGCAAATTGAAACAACAATGAGGCACCGCTGCACACACATATTAGAAAGGCCCAAATCCCAAACACTGACCGCTGGCAGGCATGTGGATCAACAGGAAGTCTCGTTCACTGTTGATGAAAAATGCAAAATGGTACAGCCACTTTGGAAGACAGTTTGACAGTTTCTTATGAAGCTAAACATAGTCTTACCACGTGATCCAGTAATCATAAATGAATTGAAAACTTAGGAGTACACAAAAACCTTCACACAGATGTTTACAGCTTTGTTCACAATTGCCAAAAACTGGAAGCAACTGAGATGCCCTTCAATAGGTGAATGGATAAATAAACTGTGGTACATCCAGTGGAATATTATTCAGCACGAAAACAAATGAACTATCAAGCCACTGAAAAGACAACCTTATATGCATCTTGCTAAATGACAGAAGCCAATCTGAAAAGGCTACAGACTGATTCCAACTACATGACATTCTGGAAAGGGCAAAGGTATGGAGACAGTAAACAGATCAGTGGTTGCCAGAGGTTTGGAGCAGAGGAAAGGATAAACAGGGGAGTTTTAAGGCAGTGAAACTATCCTATATGATCCAGCTAATAGTGAATACATGACATTACACATTTGGTAAAACCCATGTACAACACTTTGAGGGACCCTAATGTAAAAACTGTAAGCTTCAGTTAATAATAGTGTGAAAAGAACTTGTTGGGGAAAGTCGCACAGAAAATGCAAGCTCCTAATAAAATTCACTGGATTGAGAAGGCAAATCATTCCATGGCAGTGAAAGGACGGTCAACAAATGATGTTTTCAAAGAAATAAATACACAAATTTTGTTTTGGATTCAGGAAATCACTGAAAGGGACAAGAAATAATTGTCTTTAGTTAAAAGCCATGTTATTTTGAATACAAATACAGTTAATTTGATAAAGAACAGCATAACTCTCAGCATTATGAGGTATATTTTCAACTAACTTAATGTTCTTTAATGTTCCCCCATTTATAAAACATGTTTTAATTGTGAAATTGATGTATTTTACAAAATGTGTTTTGAAAGCATAGTTCTATAAAGATGATGCACAAATGTTGAAGACAGTCTAAATATAATTTATTTTTATTAATATAGTTAAGTTTGAAAAAATTAAACATTTGAATTTTGTTACAGTGAAAAAAAAATGAATTGTAACAAATGCTCCAAACCAATGCCAGGTATTCATAATAGGGCAACCTGGGGAGGAGGGAAAGGAAGTATATGAAAACTCTGTACTTTCTGTTCAATTTTTCTGTAACCTGAAGACTGCTCTCTAAAAAATACACACACACACACACACACACACACACACACGAAAAACAAACAACAAAGAACCACCAGAGTAACAGCAGAAATAAAAGCATGGAGATTAGGATGCAGAGCACATAGAAATCAGCTGTGTACTTCTGATATTTTTTAGATTACTCTGGTGACATTGCAGAATACATCTGGCGCAGGCAAGACAAAGTAGACAGGTTAAGAAATGACTGAAATAATCTAAACAAGAAATAAAACATTCCTACCAGCGGTGATAGGAATGAACAATGCATTTCATTCCTGGGGAGAAGGGAAAGGAAGTAGATGAAACTGAGTGAAGCGGGGCACTAGAAACTAAGATGGACAAGAAAGACGGATGAGCACATCTGAGGTTAGTTTGGGTTATGATACACTTGAGGGTCAACATGGAGTCAAAGGAGAGATGTCTAACAGGCCATCTGAAATGAGCCTGAAGCTTGGGGAGAGGTTGGAGCAGGGAGTAAGTAGTATATGGCTATACTTAAAATGTGAATGAATGAGATCACCAAAGAAAGCAAGTACAGCATAAATACAGTGGGCCCAGGACCACAGAAAACATCAATGTTTAGAGGCAAGCAGAACAAGAGTAGCCCTCAAAGAAAGAAAAGAAATGATCAGAGGAGCAGATAGAACGGTGTCATAAAGCCAAGTATATCAGGTTGAAAGGTTGCTCAATCTTTGTCTTCCACAGTGTCAAGCTCATAAACCATGGCAAAACCAAAAATTCAAGATTTATCTATAAAGCATATTATTTGGGGATAAGGAAGTAAATGCTAAGAAATCCTCTAAAAGTTAAAAGTGGTTGCCCTTGGGGGAAAGAGGAGGAAGTTACAGATTTGGAAATACTGGTTTTTCTTAAAGAGCCTTTACCTAGATACAAACAAACAAAACAAAAACACTTAAGTACAAGGGAGAAGAGACCAGGATTGGTGGTACATTTCATGTAGAAGTTTTGGGGTTTAATAAGCCATACATGTAATATAATCCAGGATATACAGCCACCAAAGAAGTCAATGCAAGTTTCAATTACTAGAAATTTAATATCCTCATTCAAATAACAGACTGAACTTCTTTTTTTGTTAATCCTCACCGGAGGATATTTTTCCATTGATTTTAGAGAGAGTGGAAGGGACTGGGAGAGACAGAGAGAGAAACCTCAACTGGTTGCCTCCGGCAGCTGGGGCCGAGAATTGAGTCTGCCTGCAATCGAGGTACATGCCCGCCACTGGAATCGAACCCGTGACCCTTCAGTCCTCAGGCCAATGCTCTATCCACTGAGCCAAACCAGGTAGGGCCAGACTGAACTTCCTAGATTACATTAGGAACAGATTAGGAACAGAGAATTCAATTTGGGTACCATATTTTAAGAGGGTCCAAATCCTATCTCTCCCACCAATCCTTTTTATCCTAGAGCTCCTACCCTAATTCAGACTCTTAACAATTCACACCTAGGTAAAGCCAAGAATATCTTAACAAGTTTGTTTTGGTTTTATTTGTTTGTTTGTTTTTCTCCAAACTACCCTACATCTTATATCCAAAGTAATTTTCTGAAAATTTATTTTGTTCATATCACTCCCTTTCTCAAAAACGTTAAACAGTTTCCTATTGTCCAGTTTCTTTGTGGGACATTTAAGAACTTTTACAAGCTGATCCCAAACTAACTTTGCAATCCCATGTCCTGAGGCTTTCCCAAACGAACGATCAATTCCAGGCAGTCTGTGTACTCACTGTTCCCTGCACACACTTCTATCATCTCTATCTCTGCGCCTCAGTTCCCTGTGCCCTTACTCCCGTTACTGTTCGAGCCTGCTCTCTTCTGCTTATATGAGCATCGTTTATGTCAAGCAAGCGCCACACATTCTTTCTTTAAATATATTTTTACTGATTTCAAAGAGGAAGGGAGAGGGAGAGAGAGAGAGAAACATCAATGATGAGAGGGAATCACTGATTGGCTGCCTCCTGCAAGCCCCTTACTGGGTATCAAGCCCGCAACCCTGGCATGTGCCCTTGACCGAAATCAAACCTGGGACCCTTTAGTGCGCAGGCCGACGCTCTATCCACTGAGCCCAACCAGCTAGGGCTAAGCTCCACACTTTCTACTCGGCTTTCCTAGTCCCTTTTACTGCAAGGATGTCTCTCTCTGTCTTCTGGACTCCCACTGCATTTCCTACTGTGTCAATCTCTTCACAGTCACCATGTATAGAATGACTGCGCCATTAATTACCTTTTAAAACTACCTTTTATAAATATCAATTATTTTGAGAGCCATAAGCTTAATATGGCGGCCAACAATATCTATCATACTGTGAAAATCGCCAAGCCTCAATCTATACTTTTAAAGACACCAAAACATCATTTACTCTTTTAAGCACAATGAATTCTTTCCCTTTCTAGGCCCTCCTAGCATTCTGTACTCATGTTCCACTCCGCATATATCATAATACACAGATTATATTAGTCTAAATTCCCCATCTCTACCTCACTACCTGGGCATTACATAGAGGCAAGAATTTCTGGCAGGACAGATACACAATCAGTATTACATGAATTGAAGTACTCACCCCACTCGCAGTTCTGATGGGTTTTGCCTTTAACTTGGGGACCAAAACCTTTCGATACTGAGGTGGGACTGCGGCAATGATATCCACCAGGCGAGGCTGTGCTGAAAGGCCATATTTGGCAGCTGTCTTGGTTTTCACCCTGAAAGTAAAACATCTAGCATTATCGAGATCACAGCATTTCAAAGAAAAGCTACCAAAAGAAATGACCTGTAAATAATATCATCAACTCCTCCTCTACCCTTTCATCAGATGACAACAGTGGCTTTAACAGCTGTAAACATCAGGGGCCCGGGACAGTGACACCGTGTAGGTCTCATTCAAAATGGTGCTCCAGCTTCAAAGGGTTCTGTCTTTTCTCAGCCTCGGCACTGCGGCATTTGGAATCAGATTAATTCTGTCGTGGGGTGTGTAGCAGCATCATTAGCCTCTGCTCACTAGCACTCCTCTTCCTGTTGTAACAACCAAAAATGTCTCCAGATATTGCCAGATGTCTATTGGGAGGAGCGAGGGGAGTCACACCTGGCTGCAAACCACCGTCTTAGATCAAACAAACAAAAAACAAAAGAAAGCGACACAAAAGTATACAAAGGACTGTATACATAAAAACAGAACATAAAACACATATACTTTTACAATTATAAGGCAACCACTTGCGTAACCACACTTCAAGAAATAGAATATAAGAACTTCAGAATACCCGTTTGCCCCTTCCCGATTATAACCCTACTCTCACCTCCAGGAGTAACTTTATCCCAACTAATAATCCTTTACTCTTCTCTATAATTTTACCAACTTCTCCTTTTCCGTTAGCCAAACCCTAACAGTCACGTTAACTTCTAATTTTAAACCCACCTAAAAAATATTGAGGTGTTTGCATCATTTTCTACAAATGTTAACTGAGTGTGTGGAATGTCCAAAGACTACAGAAGTACTTGGCATGTCAGGAGGTATAAGGCATAGTCATTTCATGCTCTATGTTTGCAGACAGGCATGAACAAAAGTAAATGTGTGTGATAAAACACACACACACACACACACAACAAGTACTTCCAGCATTCAAGAGAGTAACTCAATGTGTGCTGGGGAGATATTCATAGAAAATGGGCCCAGAAAAAAGAACAGACTTCAGACATGCAGTGAAAACATAGAGATGACACCAAGAGCAAATGGGATGGCTTATGTGAAGACACAAAAACAAATATACACATATTTTAAGAAACATGGGTAGACCAACTTGACAGAAAGCAAAAGGTTATCAATGTAAAGGTGCAGAAATTTAAAAAGCTGGAAAAGTGGATTGAAGCCAGACCGAGTGGCCTTACATACTAATAATGGGCTGAGGAATCTGCATTTAACTCCATAAGCAACTGGGGACATGCGGAAGTTCCTGCACAGGGAAACGACATGGTGACAGATGAGACCCTAACTGGACCCAAGGAAAATGATTCAAAGGTAACACTAGTTTCATGCGTGGGTGAAGGTTAACACAACTAATCAAAGACGACATCTGAGTAGGAACTGATTTTAAGGAGAAGCTAGCCGCGTGGGTGAAGGTTAACACAACTAATCAAAGACATCTGAGTAGGAACTGATTTTAAGGAGAAGCTAGCTTTAGCTTTAGATGTCTAAATAAAAGAGAATGATAAAAATTTATAGAAGTAGAAATGCTCACTAGAAATAAGAGAGTTGTATAATTGGTCGTATAGCCAACAAGGACAGGAAAAAAAACCTGCCAAAGACATGGTAGAAAAAAGATTAAAATGTAATGTCTTGCCCTGGCCGGTGTGGCTCAGTTGGTTGGAGCAATGTCCGAAACACTGAAAGACTGAGGTTTTGAGTCCCAGTCAGGGTACAGACCTAGGTTGTGGGTTCAGTCCCTGGTTGGGGCTCATGCGAGATGCAACCTTTCCATATTTCTTTCTCTCTCTCTGTTCCTTCCTCTCTCTAAAATCAATAACCATATCCTCAAGTGAAGACCATAGATAGGTTAAATAAATAAATAAATAAATAAATGTCTTCATAGTCAAAAAAGGATAGTTATTCCTTTAGCAAATGTTTATTAAATAAGCACAATGTTCCAAGGAAGTGGTAAAACATTATAGTATCTCAACTAACAGAGAAGAGGGTCTTAAGAAAGGTCATGCATATGGTAAGACAGAGCACGTATTTCCACATCCCAGCTCTGCCAATCACAGTAATTTATTTTTAGACAAATTAACCTTTCTGTATCAAATTACCCATCTATCAAATGACGATGATATAAGTACCTTCCTCATACAGTTTCTGAAAGGATCAACTGAGCTAATATATACAATGCACTACTAACACTGACTGGGACATAGTAAGCGCCCAATAAATGTTAGAAGTTAGTATTATCAGTTATGGGACAATTTTGCCATGAGTAGCTGGGCAGGGCAGAAAAGCTAAATTCTCAAGTAAAAGATAAAGCAGGAGATAGGAAACAAGTAGAATTTGATAATTTCATAAGGATCTATTACCTGAGAGTAATAGATCTCTTACGAAACCTTTTTTATAGATCCACTTACTTATTTAGATCGATGTCTTTCCCCTGTTCGTGGGCTTCAATTAGTTGTTTGATAACATCTCCTATGGTCAGCATCATTAGCTCAGCAGGGCTGAGGTCTCCTGGAAAGATAATATTTAACAATGTAAAAAAATCATATTATTCAGTAAAGGTGTTTTTATGTATTATCCCTTTTCCTTCCAAAATTATTCCAACCATGCCAAATAAATAGCTCAAGTTCGTAAGACACTAAACCTCTGTTTACAAGATGATCATATCTTTGGTTTCTTTATTTTAAAACAAACCTGGCTTCACCTATATATGGGAAGAGCTTGCTTTACAAGCTCATACACCACGAGAATGACAGCGACAAACACGAGGAGAAAGAACCTAACTGCACAGGAAAAGACCGAAATAATTAAAATAGCTTCCCTTTATCTCCAGATTTATAATTCTATTTATGTGCCTTATTTCATCTGATTCTCAGAACACAGTGAGATAGAACAGAAATACTTGCCTGTCCCATGACAATGCTATCAAGGGGTGAAGTTGAAACTCAAACCTAGGTATCTTGCAGAAAGTAGAATTTACTTTGTAACAAAAAAGTCGTGGGTTTATACTAAGGATCTTAATGCATCTCTAAGATATAGTCTGTCCACCATCATCACCCTCTCATGGCAACTGAAGCTTCCCTTCTCATCTAAAAGGCAACAGCGGAAGCCGACATGTTCTTACATGACGCCATCCCTGCAATTACAGTTGACCAGCACCTACCCGTCAGGCGAATGTGAGCTCTTCCCCTCAAGGCAAAAACACACAATCTCTCCAATGATAAAAACTATGAGATTTCAGCTTGGGAGCCGTTAGCAACCATGCTTCCTGTTCACACACAGAAAGCTGGTGTTCCATGATAATAAAGTCACCAGGAAGAAGCATAGAGAGAACCCTGGCAGTTATAGAACCCTTTCATTTACTTTATCTCCTCTGAAACCTCACAATACTGTAAGGTAAGTATCGTTAGCTCACTTTACAGATGTGAAAAATTAAGGCAAGATGCGATTGTAAGTGGCAGAGTTAACTCAAATCCGGGTCTTTTCTCAATAACTTCCACGTTTTTTTCACTGTACCAAGCTGCCTCTAATTTAATGAGGCAAGGCTAACACGAACAAAACAATCTGCAAGGGTTGAAAAAGTCCATCTAAAATCAAAGGCTAAATGCGTTCCAAACCATGTAACTCAGCACTTCAGAGTTCTAGAAAGGCACCTCACTGGCCGTGTAACAGAGGGAGGGCTGGTGGTGGAGGTAAAGGAAGGGGGAGAGGATGGAAAGGGAGGGCCTCTTTCTCCATTTCAACCAAAGCAGCTCAGCTTTCACCTGTTTAATACTAAGTTTCTGCATAAGAATTTGGAGGAAAAAGGAGGATTCAGGTGATAAAAATAAAGATTGGAAACCCACCTGTATAGCCCTTGAGTGTATCAAGAATTAGCTGAAGAAGTAAATTAGTAAGAACAGGCTTCATGGAGGAAAAGGCACAGGGGTATTTAATGAAAGAGCAGGATTTGGACAAGCAAAACAGATGGCAATCCAGAAGGAACAATGTTAGGAGGAAGAATTCCCTATCCTTGTATGAAGGAGCATTGTCTAACCAGAATACAGGCTTTCTGATGGAGTAAGATGTAGCCTAGTAGATTATAGGGCGCTTTGGCTACTAGGCAAAGACATCTAAATGGAGTGCAATAGATAGTGGAGAATTATATAATCTCTAGTTTGGGTGTAAAAATATGAAAGTAGTGTTTAAAGAAAGTAAGTTTTAGAGGTGGGCTAGAATGGGGAAAAAAGGGAACATATGTAATACTTTCAACTATACACACACACACACACACACACACACACACACACTTTTAATCTGGGTACTAGGTGAAAGGCTCTTAAAAGGCAACACTGTAAAAAAAAAAAAATAGAGAAAGAAAAAGAAAAACACACAACACCCTCAAGATTTACAGTAAAAAACTTGGATGATAGCCTCCCTCCGCAGCTCTCAACCCCTACTGGCTGTGTGATAATGAGAAGATCAATAACTTCTAAGCTCCATTTCTTTACCTGCAAAATTGGGATAATACTAGTACATACACATCTCACAAGACCACGGTAAGGATTAACTGAAATAATGTCTACAAAAGCCAAAGTACTATTCAAAATTAGCTATTGATTAAGGTTGAGTTAAGAGGATGGTGGCCAGACTAATAAGGAATAAACTATTTCAAGAGGCATTTCTAAGAGCTGATAGGGTTTGGTGACAGATGAAGTTAAAGCTGCCCGTCTGACAGATGAAGGGACAACTTAGAGGAAGAAGATGACTAATTTGAGGCATGTAGAGCTGGATGCCACAGACAACTGAAGGTAACTTGGACACTTGTTGCTTCAAAAAACTGCAGCTGATATCAACAGCATAGTAACTAAAAACTGATTTTTTTAAAAATGTTTTTTGGGTTCATAGAGACAGTCTGACCCACCAGTTCCATTTCCTAATTATAATTTAGGGCTGGAAAGTCATTTAACTCTTTGAATCGCTGCTTCGTTTGTGAAATGGGAGTGGTTACCAACTTCAAAAACGATTAGCAAAAAGCTCAATAAAAGGTAGTTATTATCATAAAACCTGTGAGAAAATACTTGAAATCTGATTCCATTCAGTGGAGAAACTAAAGATGGAATTGCTCCATGCTAACTCGGGAGGCAATAATACACATGGACATAACTGTCCCACGGATTCCAAGAAGAATTCGGGGTTGTTTTTAACTTACGGCTTGAAAAAGAAATCTAGAAGGAAAAAAGAAAAAGAAACAACACGTGCAACGTGTCCTTAAAAGCCCTCAACAATTAAGGAATGAGCACGAGTTAAATCGACCGACCACGTTAACTACTTAGAAAACACACCTTGAAATAAAGTTTTTCCTGCCTTTTATGCAAAAGCCACCAACTGGCTGCCGAAGAGGGAGAGAGGGAGGGGAGGTCGGATTAAACGAGCACAATAGGTAAAGCGAAAGGGAGGGGCGGGCGCCGACAGAAAGACCGACCCCCGGCGGG